CCTCTTCCTTTCCTTTCCTTCCCCTCCTTCCTTACCTGCAGCTGCTTGAGCACCTGGAAGGCCAGCAGCTCCTGCCGGAGGTCGTCCCCGCACTTCACAATCATGGAGAGGAGCCGCCAGTTGGGCAGGTGGCCGTAAGGGGAGCCCTCTCGGATCCGCCTGGGGAGGGGGGGGGGGAGGGGGGGGAGGAGCCCCCGCGGGCCTGTTTTTTTGGGGGGGGGGGCTGCCCCTCCTCCAGGGACCCTGCCTGACCAGCCCTGGAGGCCAACAGACACGGCAGCTGCCCCTCCTGCCCTGCCTCTCCCTCCTCCCCCCATCCCGGTTTTGGCCCCGTCTGCCCCCCAAAAGTCTCGCTTAAAGGAGCAACTGGGGTAGCTCTCCGGCGGGTGGACTTCAACTCCCAGGATCCTCTGCTGCCCGGGGATCTCTGGGAGTCGAAGTCCAGTCACCTGAAGGGAGGCCTTTCCTGACCACCTCAGAGGGACCCCCACACACGCCCCCTCCCTCACCTCACTTTCTCCTGCCAGGGCTCCTTCAGGGCGACGGCCGAGGGGTCTTCGGGGTCCCTCTTGAAGGAGGTGGGCGTGTGGGCCAGCTGCTCGGAGAGGCGCCTCCTGCGGAAGGGAACCCAGGTCAGCTCGGCTCCTGCCAGCCCCCCCCCCCCCCCCCCCCCCCCCCGGCCCCTGGCTAAGGATTAAGGCCAGACGGACAGACGGACGTGGCTTCCGAGTTCTCGGAAGAATCGGGGGGGGGGCATCTGCTGCGCCTTCAGCCCCTCCTCAGAGTCCAGTTGTCTGTTCAGCTCCCGGCATAAACCAACGGCCCCGTCTAAGGACGCCGGACGAAAGGCGACATTATCTGCGTCCCAGGAGGGTCGGGGGGGGGGAGAAGGTCTCCCCAGGGAGTCTGGACGGGCCGTGAGGACCGGAGATTTCCTCTCCCAACTCCTGGCCTTGCCTGAGTCCGGCCGCTCGGAAGGGGAAGCCTCTGGCCCCGCTGACCGGCCGACCTGGCGGGGGGTTTCCTCTTTCTCCCTAGGCCTGGAACTGAGCCAGGGTCAGCCAAGGGGGCGTCCCTGCCTCGGGGCAACGGAGGGACCTCGGCAGCCCCCCCACCCCCGGCCGGCTCTCTTCACCTGATGTCCCCCGCCGCGATGAAGACGGGCTCCTTGCTCTCCTGGCTGGTGATGCTGTCCACCGAGAATTGCGAGATGTTGTCGCAGCTGCTGGTGTGCAGCTCGGGCAGCTGCAGGGCGGAGGAGGAAGCCGGGTGTGAGAGCCGAGGGGGGGACGGGGGGACGGTCCGGGATAGGAACCGAGGGCGCCCGATCCCCCCCCTCCTGCCCCCCTCCCTCTCACGCCCGGCCCCTCCCCCCTGCTCACCTCCACCTGCAGCTCCCCGATGTCGTCCACGGACCAGGCCTCGTCGTCGTTGTCGTAGTTGGGCACGGTGGTGAAGCTGCTGGCGCGCTGCTCGTAGGTGATGCCGCACTCCGGCAGGTTCTCCACCGAGCGGGTGCTGCGGATGCGGTTCTCGGGGATGCGGGCCGGGACGCTGGTGGTGTCGAAGTTCTCGCACTCAAGCGCCTCCACGTAGATCAGGTAGGGAGCCTGGCGCGGGGGGGGGGGGGGGGGGGGGGGGGGGGGTGAAGGCTCTGCTCGTCCAGGGCGCCCCACTGCGCGGGAAAGGGGGGGCATCCCCACGGACGGGGGAGCCACACTGGGGCCTTTGGCAAGAGGCCCCTCCCCCTTTGCAGGGAGTCCCACAATCGGCCCCAAAGCCCCTGGGGGGAGCCAGAGCCGTTTAATGACTGCATGATCCGCTTAACGGCTGCAGGGATTTATCTACTGTGGAAAAACAGATCCCCGAATTGGGCAGGAGTCCCTTGAACAACGGCCCCGCTTAGCCGCAAAACCTCCAGGCCCCCCGTGGCCCTAAGTCGAGCCCCGCACAGTCTCCGGAGCCTCGGAGGACCCCCCCGGCCCCCGCTCACCTTGTCCTTGGAGTTCAGGACCACCGCCTGGGTGTGGGGCACCCGCACCACGTGGTGGTCGAAGCCGGCGGTGGGCAGCCAGACGCGGGCGGGCAGCTTGTGGTTGAGCAGGGACAGCTCGGAGATGAGCCTCTGCGTCTTCTGCTCCTTGGTGGGCAGCGTGGTCAGGCGCTTCCCGATGGCCATCAGCGACTTGATGAACTCCCGCTCCGGGGCCAGGCGGACGGGCTGGGGGGGGGGGGGGAGAAGGTGAGGCCCAGCCCCCGCGAAGAGACCCCGCCTGGAGGCCCAGGGCGAACCCCCTCCCTCTCTCATCACTCCGGATGCGCTGTGGGAGCTGACCAGCTGGGCCGAAGGGACAGGCGCCACCTCTGGCTGTGGGGAGAAGCCGAGTGGGAACCCCCCCCCCCAGGAATGAACTCTGAACCGAGCCCCCTGCCGGAAGCCCAGGCTGGGGGGGAGGAGGAGAAAGAAGGCAAGGGGCCCCCGGGGGTCCTCTTCGCCTCGCCTAACCCTGGCGCTGCGGACGTCCTTGGGCTGAGGACCCCCTTAGTCCTCGGTGCACCATATCCGCCTCCCTCGGCGGACCAGCCCACCACGGCACCCATCGAAGTCCCCCCTGGCTGCAGCCCCCCTGCCCCAAAGGGAGGCCCCCTCTTGGGTCCCTAAGCCAACCGGGGGCCTCCAAGAGCAGAAGCCCCTCGCTGACCCAGACAGGGGAGGGGGAGCCCCCTCCGGGACCACCGGCTGAATCCCTGCCACGAGCCCCTGCCCAGGTCCCTCCTGGGGCCTTTCC